GGTTTTGAAATAAACATAATTGGTTCATAATTGGCCACGGTAGATTTTGGCTTTTTTTTGTGGAACAAAATCTATTTGAATGCACTTGTTTAAGACGTCAAAAAGATTGATCGATTGATCAATTGTCAATTGATTAATTGTCATTTGGATCGCATTCATAATGTACACCATACATACAATTTTCATGACTGTAGGTATTCGATTTAAAGGGTGGGATATGGCAGTGAATTTACAGGGTACAGAGGAATAACACCCGAGTCCTCAGGAATAGTAACGCATGGGCGGTATCGTGTGTGAAACAGTATACTCTGTTATGTCCATGGTACTGCTTATGTCTATAGGCGACGGTTACTACTTTAAGTTGCAAAATAAAAATTTATTTAACTTTCATGTACCTTTGTTACGAGTATGTATCTAACATAGTCGTAACAAAGGTACCTACACATGGCGGACATATCGATTAATTTTGTGTTAGTTTGCTCGGTTATAGAAGTCCAGGGGTCGAGTAGTAACAATGTATTCGGATTTTTTTGTCCTAAAGGTCAAGGTCGCAAGATCGACACTGTAATCTAACTTATATCTCATCCGAATACTGCGTATAAGTAGTATAGTAAATTTCTTAACAAATGATTGCTAAGGTGCCAGTGAGTAGTAAAGAAATTCATTCAAAATTTGTAATATTAATAGTAATACAATGAAAGATTGTGTCACAAAAAAAAACCGACTTCAATTGTCACAAAACCAGTTATTTTGATCGAAAAACTAAGTTACTAAACCGATTTTATTAAAATTTCTATGCGATCAATCAATCTAAATCAGTTCACAACTGATGGTGTGATGAGGTAACAAACATAAAAACATACAACCGAATGGAGAGCCTCCGTCTTTTTGAAGTCTGTTAATAAAACTAGTTTTTTTTATCACGATTTCGTCCGCGTGTACGAGATACCTATAGGTGTATATATATATATATATATATATATATATATATATATATATATATATATATATATATATATATATATAATGTGAAAGTGAGTTAGTAGTTTTTTTGTTTGTTTGTCCCCACTTCGTTCGTCGTCATGACGTTTGGTATAACTACATGTGCAATACGGGATGGAGAAGAGTACCTATAAGCTTGGTAGATACTATTCATCCCGGTCATTTTATCTAATGTAAACCACAGATAATACATATAACACTGTACTAGTACCTCGACTGATATTATAAAGAGGTGGCATTTGACTTTTTGTATGCCTGTAATGGATCAACTTAATTACTGTGTACTTAATAGTTTGTAATCTCTATCTCCTTCTTTATATCACAGTGATTGGTTAAGACGTTCAAGCGTGTTCGATAAGGTAATAAACATACAAACAAGTTCACTTTCACATTTATAATATTAGTAAAGATTATAGTTAAGTCACAGTAATCGTTTATTTTTTCGGATTAGGTAAAATACAGGAACGGTAGAAAGACTTTGATCACCGTATTGATACTTATCCAACTAAATAGTTTTCTAATCAAGGTTGCTTTTATGCGTTACCCAAATTCCTCTTTAAATTAATCCTTGATCTATCCATCTATCCAGACCATTCGTTTAGTTAGAAATTACGACGGAAGTAAAGTGCTAAAAGTAAGAACACCGCCACGGTGTGAGTGGACGGCTTTGCGCTGGGGGGAACGGGATTGTTAGTAATGAGGTCTGATAGACCCATTGCTAGCAATATACCCTCTCAGGTCGACCTTCAAGTGGTACCCCCTGGAAACCATCATTGTGGACCAACTGACCTGCACTCATTTTCACCTATCATATTTCACTGATGCCCCGCCGGTGTATGCGGATAGCGCAGGCGACGTTACCATTCCATTATCACTGATTAAAAAAAAAACAACCTTACGCTTTATTAAACGTAAGAAATAGAAGATAACAATATTTCGTTATCTTCTATTTCTCTAAGTAAAATAATAAAATAAACGGGGCACTAGTGAGAGATGATACATGAGGATAAAGTAGATCAGTTAGCCCATCGTGACGAATTCAACAAGAATTGTACACGATGGTTTCCAGGGGGAACCACGTGGAGGTCGACCTAATAGGGCATATTGCTAGCAATGGAGCTGTCAAACTCCATTGCTAACAATCCCTTTCCCCCCACACGAGAATAGTTACTCGTGTAACGCACGAGCGACTCGTCTCGTGTTACATGTGCGGCCTCTTGAATGTTGCAAAACTATGAGCAAACAATACAAGTTTAGTCAAATCATCTGTATTCAAATAGGTAGACTTGTTTACAAACACTTTGAAGTCGTCATTTTTTTATGTACCTTTAGGGTTCGGAATATGTCGAGAAGAACCCGCACAGTTACTCTTTTAAATCTCTATTAACATTATATGTATTTATTTAAATGTACTATGTCTAAAATGAGATCATGTAGGTCATTAAAAAGCACGTGAATGACCGACTAACACCATGCACATTTGTCATTCAAGTGATCGTTTAGTGTGTAATAGGCTTTGTAAAATAAGTATTTTAAATAACAGTTTTAAAATTAAAATGTAGATTTAGAATATTCTTCAGTATTTTATTATAACATTGAATGCCCATTCCCATAAAAGACCAATCAACTTTTTTTAAACAATACTTCATTAGAGAAAGTTTGTATTTGTATCTAGTATTAAGATCGTTGTTTTTAAGAAACAGTTGAAGATTGTCGAGTATATAAAAATGTTTGCGTATAGGTACTTTAAGTTCACAAAGTTACGGTGAAAATATTTGGACTTTTAAATTTCTCTTTTAGTGATTCACGACTTCCCATTGAATAAATCGCGTGAGTAGCACATTTTTGTAATACCAACAAATATATTTTGGATGTCGCCTGCTTTACCCCTTAATAATATACCATAGGACAGTGTACTATGAAAGTAACTAAAATAAACTAATCTGGCAGTTTTAATATTAGTATACTGTTCAACTGTGCGCACAGCGTACGCCGCAGAACTTAATTTAGTTCTTAGGTTTTGAATGTGAGGTCTCCACCGAGTTTTATTATCAATAGTGATTCCAAGACTGTGGAATCTGTAAAATCAAAAGGTTCGTTTTAGAAGTAGTAGAATTAGAATTGTAATTTTTAGAAGGAGAAAAATTTATTTATTTATTATTATAATGCATTCATGTACATAATTATAGAGTTGTTACAATGTTCTTATGTAGAGTAAGTACATGAAACCCTGTTTGGGTGTAGCAAAATAAATTACGCATTTTGTTTATTTGATGGTCAACATTAGATTATTAGTTGAAAACCAACACGAGTTATTTATCGTTTATTTATATCGTTATAATTTTTGGTCAAACTATCAACTTTAAAAATAAAAGAAGTTATATTTACGAACAATACTATTTCACATCTATCATACATAGCAAAATTGAGATCATTAATATAAACTAAAAATAGGATTAGACCGAGATTAAACCTGTGACCCTTTTGCACAAGCGACCCGTTAAATGTAACGCTTCTTCAACTTTTTAAATTCTGTTTGATAAATATAATTTGACTAAGTTTAATGCATTCTCTTTGTCACCATAAAAGTTACTTTTTTCAGTAATGTATCATGATCTACACAATCAAAAGTCTTAGATACATCACAAAAATGCCTATCGCATCTATTTTATTTTCCCTGCAAAAAATGTGTTTAATAACTCCGCACCTGCATCCGTAGTTGATCGCCCTTTAGAAAAACCAAATTGACAATTATGAATTAATTCATAATTCGTTTAAATTAAAATAATTAACTAGTTGATACAACATACAGTAAGTGAAGAATAGAAATAGGCCTATAGTTTACTGGATCACTTTTACTCGCATCTTTAAAAGCGGTTTCACTGAATTTCATTAAATTAGGAAACTTATCCGCATCTATGCAATTATCAAAAACATTTTTAAATATCTCATATTTTAAAATTATAATTTTTATATGATTCAGACTGTCGTATCATATCGAGTTATATGATTAAAACTAAACACAGCTGATGGCTTACTAACATTTTCTATTAGTACAGCTTCAGCCGCAGATGCGGAAGTGTTTAGAGATAGAGTTGTTGCTAATGGTATATTAGTGAAAAAAAATATTACAAAGTTTCTGTAACTTCAATATCAGAATTAATTAATTGATTATTAAGATTTAAAATATTTTTATTACCAGGAGCCTTTTCCGTATTGTCCCGGCATAAAATAGACTACCTTTCTTTCCTGTGGGTGTCGTAAGAGGCGACTAAAGGAACTATATGAGTAGCAACGTCTGTCTTAAAACATCTCTGAAAGCCTAACTGCGGTTTTTTTTTGTGGGTGAAAATGGTATGGTAACCCCGCCTGCGCTAGCGCGATACGCTGGCGGAGCACCAGTGAAGGGTGATAGATGAGAATGAAAACAGGGCAGTTAGCCAATCATGATGAATTCATCAGGAATTAACCATGATAGTTTCCAGGGGGAACCGCGAGGAGGTCGAGCTGGTTGGGTATATTGTTAGCAATGGGATTCTCAGTTTCCATTACTAACAATCCCTTTTCCCCGCCTAACTGCGGTTGCCAACCAGCCTGTTAAGGATGTCAACTATTAAAACTCCCCTTGTGGGAAAGGCTTATGTCCAGCAGTGGACAGTTACTGGCTGAAATGAGCCTTTACTTTTCTGGTTTCACTATAAATTATCTTCCAATTGTAAGTTTCCAAAACAAATTTCCAACATAAACAATGTAAATTTTATTTTATAATTAATTTATTTGTATTGGGGTCGTGTATTAGGAGTATAACAGTAGTCGCCAGCTACGCTAAGCTTGTCCTCGTTACTAACATCCCGATTAAAATATTTTATGTACTGTACGTAGTGTGATATTTGAGACACACATAGTTATTATAATCTTAACAAGACTCTTGACAACGTGAGTTGCGATGCTAGCACGCACACAGAACTTAGTAACGCACTGTTTATCTTTGTGCACAGATCGCACGGTAACCGCCGGCGCAGCGCGGTGACTGGGCGGTACCGCGCGGCGGCGGCGGCGGTGCGGTGCGGTGCGGTGCGGTGCGGTGCGGTGCGGTGCGGTGCGGTGCGGTGCGGTGCGGTGCGGTGCGGTGCGGTGCTGTGTAGCGCGGCGAGCGTGCGGCGGCGCGGCGGCATGGGGCGCGCGCGCGGCCCGCCGGCGGCATGGCGGTGAGCTGCCCCGAGGTGATGTACGGCGCGTACTACCCCTACCTGTACGGGCGCGGTGCTGCGCGCTCCTTCCACCACGCGCCGCACTTTCAATATGATCGGGTCAGTATTCACCGCCGGCCACCGCATCTACACCCACTCATACCCATGTCATGCTCATAAGCATATATAGCACGACAGGAATGTAACGAGTCGGGTTGCCACAAATAGCACTATTTATAAGTAAGAAACAGATACTTACAGTGTACAAATAAACAACATCGGGCCTAGATATAAGCCCTGAGAAGCACCGGAAGACGTCTCGCTCCTATTACTTACTTTCATTTTTTATTCATATCAACTGTTAGTTGAACTATTTTAACAGTAGATGACACATTCCATTCTACGGGTCCTTTAATTTTCAAGGTTTTTTGATAGCTTCAAAAGTAATGTATGACTAATGTGGTCGAATGCACCGTGAAAATCAGTATAAGTAGGACATAATGGGGGAGTTATTGGTCCTTGGAGGAATCTTGTGTAATATAGCACCTTATACAGTAAATATATGGGAAAAAAGCGGGACAGCACAACGGTCGGCAACAGAACTCACTTTTGTATTATAGTAATGAAATACATCTACTATTTTAATTTAATTCATTTGCACAGACTGATTATTTTATTTTACATGTTATAGATTATTGAAATACTAGCTTTTTGCCCACTACATCGTACGCGCAGTATTCGGAAGTAGGAAAATCAATGAAATAGATATTTGGAAGAATTGAAATAGATATTTATCAAGATGGCGTATCAAAATGGAACATGCATCAATTTTTAATTTAGAACCTTTAGGACCACAACAGTGAACGCTGAATTCAATTTAGTAGTAATATATGCACGACGACAGAACAAACATACAGATAGACAATATTTCTAACAATTATTTTTGTTTTTATGACTCTTATTAAAATCTCTTACATAGGTACAGACATTGTTCAGTTACATTTTTATTATATTAATATTAGTTGCGGGTTAGAGTGGGACGACGAGCTTAGTAGAGACGTATATTTGCAGTAACTTGTAACGGATTTTCAATTGAGTTATGACTGACAATATTAACAAATAAAAATGATCTTTTATACTAAATATAAATATAGGAAATTAAAACAAAACTGGTGGGGCGACACATTAATCTAGTACGTGCAGTGCTACATTGACAATTATTAAACAAACAATTTTCTTACCGCACTGCACGCATAGACATAGATATGACTCCATATAGACCAGGGGTTCCAAAACTTATTTCGTCTATTCCACTTTGAGAATAAAATATTTTTAGCGCCTCACTTTTTTCACCTATTTAAAAACCACTATTACTTCAAGATCAATAAATCACTTCCAAACCCTCTACACAATGCCCCCATTTTTTTCTGGGTCTATATCGCCCCCTTTTAGGCCTGTAGCACCCCCAAGGGGGCGCTATCGCCCACTTTGGGAAATGCTGATATACACTATTGTCTATTTTCAAAAGTTATAGGAAATCTCTTACTGAATGAACCGAGGCTAATAGATCGTACCGATACAGTAGGCTGTACAGCCCATGAGGCAATATACATACATTACTGCTCCTTAGGACTAGTGAGTATACCCTTCCGTAATTTCTTCGTGACATATTTTTATTCGGACACAAGTTACGCATATTGGTATATTAGGCATTGTATTTTTTAGTGGACGAGAGGAAACTTCTAGGTGATACCTCTCTTAGTCTGTGATCAGAAATGTGACAACTCACTTGGGCAATGTTGGACTGCGGCTGATCGAATACTAGTCTCAATTTCTGAATTATTATCACATTATGATGTTTAAAATGGCGATTTAAAAGTGCTTGTAAACACGTCTATTTGAATTAAAATAATTTGAATCGTTTCATTGAACTATTGTCACTCGCCGCGTGCTTCGGAGAGCAAGTAAAAGCGCGGTCCAGGAAGCTCTACCAGAGGTCGTTGTGTTCAACGATAACGGCAAACTTTCCACACCAGAGGACGACACCCTTGCATGAGTAGTAGATAGCAGAGTACGAATTGTAATAGAGTGACGTATTTCAGTTTAACGTGCAAAGCGGGGCAAGCAATCCGGGTAGTGAGGCGTATAGCGGCGGCGGCGGCGCGGGCGGCGCGCTCAGCTCGGGCTCGGCGTCGTCGGGCGCGCAGTCGCCGGGCTCGCCGCCGCACGCGCACCACGCGCCGCTCGCGCCGCGCCTGCGCACCAAGGAGGAGGACCTGTCCACGCACGGCCGCGCCAGCGCTGACGGTACGCCTCGCACGTCTAGTTTTCAAATGACATGCCAGTACGATCCCGTACACTCACCTGACTCTGTGGATAAACTAATTTTGTAAGCGATGACCTGATTTGTCAGGGCAAAAGTATATCATAGGATTTCGCGTAAGTTTACAATTGGAGAAGAGATCGCATGATCATATATCGAACCCGTCCATTCGTCTTGGCCCGTCCGTCTTTGGTACTTGTTGACTTAAATGTGTTGTAATAGAAAGCATTGAATATCTGTGGATCAAGGTAATCCTTATGATCTTTTAGTGGGAGATCTTTGTTGAGCAGTGAACTGAATGACTGAAATGATAACCATGATGAATTCGTGTCTACGCTTTCTAAACATTTGACACTGACCACAAAGTGCAGTAAGTACATTATTCGCTGGGAGAAGAAAGTAATTTATTTACATTAATTTGTATGCATTTAAATTTTAATTTGGCGCGCAATTATTAATGATAAACCTTAATTTCATAAAAGATTACGTGTAAGTTATTAGGATTTTCATACAGAGTTGCCACCTCATTCTTAAACTTAAGATGTAAGTAGTTTCTTGTTCTCCTGTTTTATGGAAGGTAGAGCTGTTTTAAAAAGGTGTGGTGTATAATATATGGGCATGATGATTGTTCACAGGCGGCGGCTCGTCCGAGTCCGAGGGCGAATGTGGCGGAAGCGGCGGGCGGGCGCGCGCGCAGTATGTCAGCGCTAACTGCGTCGTGTTCACGCATTATTCTGGCGACGTGGCCGCTGTCGTCGACGAGCATTTCACCAGGGCGCTGTCTATTGACAAGCCCAAAGGTTAGTACCACTGCTCAGACCCAACTTATCGACATACTCTGATTTATTGATTATTGGCTACATTATTAGTAACGCTCCTTATTTAGAAGGTATTTGTAATGATTGAAGAAGTGTTAACCTCTCCTGTAATATTAGTTTAAGCTAGCAAAGTATCAGTAAGGATGAAGTCAGGCCAATTGGCCTATCATGATGATATATCAGGAACTAACCATAATGGTTTCCAGACGAACCACGCGGAATTAGAGCTGATAGGGACTTTTTTCATTTATTTAGAATATTAACTAAATACGAGCACATGCTAAATACAAAACAGCGAAACAAACACCTGTTTGGGGTTTATACTCGTATCTTACTGTCCGAATATTTTTTTCTCGCACAGTCGTTTATTTGGTGAATAGTGGGACTTTATAATTTTATTACATTTTTTATGGATTTGGTAGTAACGTGGCAGTTAGTGTCCTTTATTAACAATCCTCTCACCTCTCTCCTCTTATTGAGATTTTTGTACATTTTGACCCTGTAACGTGTTTTACAGCACGTCGTCATTTCCATTGCTCACTGTAAGTAGTGTCCAGCGCAGTCTAGACCTGCATCTCTCCATATCATAAGCATTTTGCTCCGACGACGTCTAGTCTTTTTCTTGAACTATTTACGGATCGATCATATTGAAATGACAGCATCGTTCGTTTCGTAAGTAGTTCATTTGAGAACATAACCGCAAGTGGTTAAGGGAAACGTTCCCTCATTGAATGCCTTGTTAATGAATTATAGACAAGTTGCATTTGGAGCTGTGCTCTTAGTGTTCTTTTTTGGCGTTATATTTCGATTTATGGCATCTATTTTCTCGCATCCTACCTTACAGATACGTGAATTGTAATCGAGTAGAGGAGTTGAATCTCTAATGAATTTCTGTTGATGCAGTAGGTACTTGAACAGTTTTCTACATTTTGAAGGTTTGTTATGATTATTTATTAAGTTTTTCACGTTTAATCGAAGGAAGAGTAAATAAATGAATAAATAATAACTACCATATTTAATAGTGAACTGTCGATTAACAGCTTATTTGAAATTCATTATGTCCCTCGTCGCTAAGACGTGGTTGTTATGCCAGTACTGGGAATTTCGGGTAAAAAGTTCACAAGACGTCCGGGTGGAGGGCGCCGGTTGTGTTCATCGGAACCGCAGTGCTCGAGCACTCTTATCTACTTCGTGAACTAAGTAGATAAATCAGTAAAAGAGGTTCTCGGACTCGCCTTAATTAAACGCACCGGTTTAATTACTAGAGCCCTCGCACTCCTTTCCAACCCCCCACCCCCCGCCCCCTTTTCTCCACCACATCCGGGCACCGCCGCTTCTACCATTGTCCCCGTATTACTCGGGTGTGTTCTCCGTAGTCTGTCGGTCCACAGTGGCCTCTTTGTTTCCATTATGATATAATTATTCAACTACAATGACTGTATTGTAGTACGATAATTTGCGTATACTTTATTCGCTTTTTTACCAACCTTTTGAAGTATGCACGAGTAGCTGTTGTTATCTAGAGATCCGACGTAGTATTTTATATGGCGTTTCTAAGGATTTCCAAGCGGGACCTTGATGCAAGAAGACGTGTGTTACTGAATTCAGGTCCTTGCGTAGTAGCAATTCAGTCGTATATTGTGACCATAGCGCAACCGCTAAAAGGGTAGATACAATAACGTTTTTTGTTACTGGTTTGAATTAGATCTACATCGTTCAATGCCGAGTTATCAAATGAGTTGAAAATCGAGTTCGGTAGGTTCGCAGCACGTTCAGAGGTGTCTTCACTTAATCCGTGGTAAATCGACAATAATCGAAAAAATAACGCGACGTATAACCGGTTTCTGATCATTCGAGGGCAAATTATTAAAAAGTAGAGCGAATTGTCGATTCAGCACGAGGAGGCGGGTGGGACATAGTTCCGAGACCGCGATTAGATAAAAATACGAGGGCTATTACTTAAAAGATGGCCGAAAAGAGCCGCTCGGCAAAAACGCATAGCGCTGCCATATTGGCAGCGAGCGGCGCGGGTCGCGGTCGGCGCAGGCTTTGTGCGAGCGCGCGATGCATTCCCGCGCTGTAAAAACTATCGCCGCCGCCCCGCACCCACCCGCATCCACCTGCGCCCTATCCGGACTCATTATTATAATTTCACGACATCACTTCGAAGATTTAGCAACAAAATAGATGCTCATTCCAACACGGTGCACAAACTGTTCAAGTTTTATACTCGCATCTATACTTTTATAAGAGGTGACGGCCAATAATTCATTACTATAATAATGTATTCACTGCACTTGGTAACATTGCGCCAATATTTGAATCTGCCGCATATGATAGGTGGTAGTACACTTTCTAATATCAGTATTAGGAGGTGTAATACCGTCTACCACTTTGAGGGATTTATTTACCTTATTTTAACTTTAAACTTAATTATTATTGGGGTCATGGTTCTGGACAAAGACGTACGAACCTTTTACAGATGACTTCACTGCGATATTTATTCGGATCTAGTTAAGCGACATTGTAATGAAATGTGATTATGGAAGTTAGCTAGATTATTTAACAGTATTAGGTACCTACTGTTAAATAATGTAATCTTTGAAAGTTACAGTATCTTAGAAGTTGCAGGTTCTTCTTAGAAGACTTGCGAAATCTACATTGTATGATCTGTCATATTTCATACAAGGTTTCAATTATTTTTACTGAATATTTTTTTTGTGATTTTATTAATTGTGATGTTTGTAAAACGTAACTGTAGAGAAATATAATAACAAGTGAGTTAATGTGGTCCACGCGTCACTTTCCAGTTTATCGTTCACAGGTGTGGATACACCTATATAATTATGACTTGCAGCAGTCACGATATGTAACGCGTACCTGTATAATTGTATAATTAAAGTATAGAGTAAATGGCCGTGTGGTCCCGGCATAGAATGGACCACTACCAAGCGTAGGAACTACTAGCAAAATCCGCTCATGATGAAGGCCTACGTTAAGCAGTGAACAGTTTACGGCTGATATGACGATAGAATAAATGGCAGAGAATTCTAATATGTGGTCCCAGCATAGAATGGACCATCTGTTTCTTTCTCGTGGGTGTTATGAGACGCGACAAAGGGAACTTAATAGAGGAGGGATGGGCAGTAGTGTCTTGCTTAAAACACCACCAAAGCCGAACTGCGGTTGCCAACCTGCCTGCTAAGCGTGGCAACTACTGGCATAACCTTCGTATATGGGGAGATCTATATTCAGCTGTGAGTAGTTGAGTTAGCTGATACGAATAAATGAAATCTAATAATAGAATATATAAGTTATGCATCTATATATGTAATATATAGGTATGTACTTAAGTATCCAACCTACCTACCGGTGTGCTTTATTTTCTTCTCTGAACGACAGGTAGACTTTCTATTTATTATTAATAGTTTATTTTTATACCACATACATGGCAAACAAGTTTTTTTTATACTACTTAGAATGGCAAACAAGCTGACGGCCCACCTGATGGAAAGTGGTAGCCGTCGCCTATAGACATGAACAGTAGCATGGCCATAACAGAGTATACTGATTCGCCCATGATACCCGCCATGCGTTGCTATTCCTGAGGACTCAGGTGTTATTCCTCTGTACTATACAGTCATACACATGGTAATCATGGTATCAATGGATTATTAGTAATGGCGAATAACGTCTACGTTGCTAGCTGTCAGGTCGACCTTTGCGCAGTCCCCCTTGAAATAATCGTGGTTAATTAAATTCGTCATGACAGGCAAACTGACATGACTTCGTCCTTACATGTCATCACCCACTGGTGTAAACTAGTACCCCACTAGCATAGAAGTACATACCGACAGCGCAGGCAGGGTTACCAGTTCATCATTACCCATTAAAAATGACACGGCGCCAGGTGTAAGGAGCTCTCTTCAGTGCCAGTTAGGTGTAGAGCCGACAGTGTCATCCACATACTGGTTGCTATGTAACTGAAGAATAGGTGCAAGTTAGTGCGCACGGCGACGAGCAGCTACAAGTGGGTACGCGCGCTCGCACGGCTCGCACGGCTCCCACGGCTCCCACGGCTCCCACGGCTCGCATTCCGCGAATTGTTTTTATCGTCCTCAGACAGATCGTGTCGTCGACTCGCTCGCAATAGCTCTCCTCCATCGATTAGTAGCTTTTTATAGTGGCCGCTAGTGTTCCGCCTGTACTCGGCTCGAGTACACTCGGTACGCGGCCGGCGCGGCAGCGACGGAGGGGCTCGCTGCTACTTGACAGACTAGCGACGCCTTCTTTGACAATAGGTTTTTATTGTAATTTTAAAAAAGATAAAAGAGTAAATTTTTTTATACAACTTAGAATGGCAAACAAGCTGATGGTCCACCTGATGGAAAGTGGTAACCGTCCCTATAGACATGAGCCCATATACATATACAAAAAATAAAAAAAAGAAGAAACAATTTTTCCTTTCATACGTTTACTATAATAACACAAATTGGTCACAACTCATTGCTTTGCCCTCAAAAGAGTAAAACACTGATATTCTGTTGTGGCCAAGAGCCAGTCGCGTAATTCCGTAGAAAAATAAATAAATAAATAAAAAAAATTGAATTTTAGATAAAATACATTGTGCGTGTTCATTACATTCACTATTATTTAAAATTTTATTCTAATTAACAAATAAATGACAAATACCATTAGAAGAAGAGTAGTCCCCTAGATATATGTTACTACTAGATATGTATATGTCATCACATCTTGTATATGTTGTATACACGTAGTAAGTGTTTGCGATGATGATTAAACGTAGGCTACTTTTTATCTCGTTTAATCAATACATCCCCGTCATGCGACTACTGCAGTCGCGTGTAGAAACTAGTCATTACTATAAGTAATAATTAAAGCGCCTAAATATTTGAACTTCACTTGTAAGAAACATTTAGATTTTATTATTTGAACCATTTTAGTTCGACGACCTTTATACGGGTTTTGATGAAGTCATAAAATTAATAAATATAAAGTTATAAAACTAATTAAACAGTGCTCTCCGCTCTCGGCTGCGGGCGTGCATCTCGAGATGAATAATGAATGAAAGTGGCTGATGCAAGAGTTTTATGTATGTATGTTATTATATATACATAAAGTAGCAAAGGATAGATGCTCCGCGGATCTTTGACCTGTGGTCTGATCACCAGTGCATGACTGAGGTGTAAGGAGTTTAATTTAATAATTACTTTAATTAGGTGTTTACTCATTATTATTACGTGATTTTATGAAAATGGACAAATAAAACGAAGAAAACAACTATGTAGTTGTTTTATTTATTTATTTATTTAACTCTTTATTGCACCATAAATAAAAATATACAATGACAAGTGAATAATTCAAATGAAATACAGTAACATAAATACAGATTGAAATATACACATAAAGGTACAAAAGGCGGTCTTATCGCTAGGGCAATCTCTTACAGACAACCTTTAGTTAAGGGAGAACAGACAGAAAAGGGCAAGTGGCGCAAGAGTGAATTAATAATTTTCGTCGGGACAAGCATTTGCTACCTCCTCGACTCGGTCATAATAAGTATGGATTACTTATAGTACTACTAATACTAATATTACTAGGTCGACTAGGGCAAGAATCAAGGGGTTCAGTAAGCCCAAGAACTTAAATACCTAACGGTCCCACTCACCCCACGAATAATTTGGCAGCTCCATTGAACACAAATTGATCTGTTCAAAGTACATTCACATAGAAAGGTATTACTGTAAAATAGATTTATGTTTTTGTTTTTTAATTTGCTTGCTTTTTTTCAAACGATAATTTATTCTTTATTTAGCCCAATCAACGTTATTAAGCAATTTGTAATAAGCAATAAATTTTAAAAGTAATATAAAAAAAAAATATAGGTATACGACGAACCAGAAATAGATAACGTACTTCAAAAAATGTAACGCAAATCTAGCGGGATGCTAGGTTAAATAAAGAGAGATTGGAGATAAAATATCTAATTATTTTAATATGCCAATTATATAAATATAATGGTGTAATAATCCCTAGGTATATTATTAGGCTCTTTACTACTGTGTTGTTATGGTACAGAAAGCGTGCCCATGGTGTCTCGCAACCTGCCGGCGTCGTTTTTCAACGCGGCGGCGGCGGCGGGCGTGGCGGCCGCCGGCGGCGCCTGCGCCGGCGTCGACATCTACGATTACGACCCTTGGCATCAACACTACACTGGGTATGTCGTGGTATTACGTGATTATTATTTTATTCATGGTACTACACGCTAAGTAATCATCAAAATGCACCTGGTGTTGACAACAGAGTTGTTGCGATTTTATTATAATAATGAAATAATTGGGTCGTCATGACTAATTTCATCAAGAATTAATCGCAACGGTTTCCAGGGAAGATTGTGTGTATTGCTAGCAATGAGGTCGCTTACAGAACTTGATAGGTACCAGTAGTTCATTTGTTTCTGCTGTGAAGGGGCAATAGGCGATGATCTATTAATGTCGTCAAAGGAAGTCAATGAGTGGATGTGGCTCAGAGCTATTCTACCGGGGAGACCTCCGGTCAGCAATAGTTGAATGGACGATGATGAGTGTAATCACTGCTCAACTTCTTAACACTGTCGAGGAGAGCCAGTCTCTCGGAGATGTGAGCGGGGAGGCCTGGCGGGCAGTAACGAAGTGTACGGTACGGCAGGTACGGGCACGCGGCGCACAGGCACGCGGCGGAGTACCACGCGGCGGCGCAGGCGCACCACAACATGGCGGCGGCCGGCTACGGCGTGGGCGGGCTGCTGCTGGGCCGCGGCTCGCTGCACCACCAGTACAAGCCGGTGGACTGGCCGCACGCGCACGCGCAGCACCACGCGCCGCACCACCTCGACCCCGCGCACCCCGCGCACCCCGCGCACCCCGCGCACCCCGCGCACGCCGCGCACGCCGCGCACCCCGCCGCCTGCTCGCCCTACTCCTACCCCGCCGTGCCCGGTGAGTACCTCGCTCATCTGACTAGGCCATATAGTATTTACTAGCGGGAACAGATTTGGTTATGTTCTGGTTTATCATTTTATTTACGTTTAGTGTACCTACTCGTGACTACCACCACGATTGTTGTGATGGATTGGCCACTACTAGTGTGACTTTCCTTACTAGTAATCGATGATAGACTATTAAATCTACATCCATATTGCAACACGAATTTCGCTAACTGAGACGTGATCAGCTCATCAGACAACATAATACGACTGAAGCTCAAAGATCTAACGCTAGTAGTTATTACTCTTGGCAAACTGGTTGGCAACCTCAGTTAGGCTTTGGTGATGTTTTAGAAGGGATGGTGTTGCCCATCCCTCGACCATTTAATTTCCTTAATTGCCTCTTACGACACCCACGGGAAAATATATCATTATCATCGTCGTTATATCAGTCATTACCTGCTGCATTGCTGAAAATAGGCCTCCCGCTATTGGAGGTTTTTGCCAATAGTTGCCACGCCTGGCAGGCGGGTTGACAAGGGCTACACACATTTATATTATTAGTTTGATCGTATTGTAAATAATAATATGAAGGGTGTGCAGATTTTATGTAGATGTAGATGCACAGTTCATAAATTATGATTCAAATATTGTTTTATTCAACGAAACAGAATAGGATTTCAACACTGAAATAAAATAAAATCAAAATATAACAGCTGTGGTCAAAAGATGCCCATATTATACTTAATACCAGATATTTATAATCAACTAAACGATATAGGATTACTATGCGATCCCACCAAAAATATATTTCTGGGAATACAAGTAGATATTTGTATTATACCTGCATATATTTTCAAGCGACTTTCAAAAGCTTTGGTTTTCAATATTGATTTTTTGTAAGTTCTGTATAAGTGTTCAAATGATGTTAATAAATTATTGAAAAAGAATTCCGTAGCCAAACAAAAATTAAATACCGTGGCTAGTGATTAGATGAAAATATTAGGCATACAGCAGCGTACGAGGAGCACCTATGACGCAATCATAATATAACTGTAACAATCCTCATCTCATTATCTTTTGTTAAGTTCTCGTTTGCTTGTCCAGCAAGCAGTGTGCGGCAGCTGAAATAATGATGATGCACCTAGTTATCAAATGAGCATGAGCACCCGCGAGGTTATTTAGAAGCCGGCGCCCCTGTTTTCACCAATGTTTTAGATTTACTTACCTGCTTGGGACTTTTAAAATATTGCAAATTTACAAATTACGAGCAGAGTGTGTGGGACAGGTTATTTGCGTGTACCATTCATCCTGCTCGTGAGCACAATAAGACTAAACACGTTATTTATTACATTTTCTCAAAGAGTAGGTACACTTACACAGAAAAGTGATATAATTTTGTTATTACTTTGAATTCTGATTATTTTAAACTCTATTGCATATATTTAAATTATCTTTTATGTCACTTGTACTAGTTTTAGTAGTGATAGATACAAATATGGAACGGTAACGGGAAAAATAATAAATACATTATATTAAATTGAAATTGTTCTTTAGGTATAGGGGGTGAGTAGGCACCTTAAACTATGATCTGGAACAAGATTCAAGATTTAAGTGGATCACAAATAAAATAATTTATCAAAGTCTACCTATGTAATGAAACGTACATTACTAATTTAAGTAACCTATAGGTATCTACTTTTAATTGATATTACCCTTACTAATTTATTTATCGTAACTAGCAATTTACAGATGATAAAGTCCAACACATTGCAGGCAATTGTAATTTTTGTACGTGTCAAATTTGATTCAGAATGTTTAAATATCTATAAGTTATTGTATGAGATTAATATTATATTAATGAATACTTGCATCACGTTTAATCGCTACTCGCGGACACAGATTAACAGTTTGTAGTCGTACAAAGAGAATGATTTTATGTTTTTATTTAATAAATTGCTATTAGTAGCCCCGTATGAAAGAGAACGATAAATAATGCTTGTTACATTAACAACGACAAAGTAATATGTGAAGCGCGCGCGCGGTCGCGGCGCGGCACGAGCGCGGGGCACTCGCTCGCGCCCACCGACTCTCGGTGTGTATTTCAATTTTCAAAGAGATTCCACTCGTTTCGGCCGCAGATATTTTAATTGTGATGATTTAAGCGCTCTATCTGAGTGACAAAACAAAGCATTCCAGCTTTGTGGCTTCCTCCGACGCGGCGCGGCTTGTTCCTGCGCAACGTAACCTACTCATCGCGTCTGCAGTGCGCACACAACACGCTGACGGCTGCGTGATGCTCGTCTTCGGTTTGATTCTACACTGTACACGTTATGCCTATTGATTTATAATTTACCTACTGATGTTTATACAGTTGTGCCAAATATAAATGCAAACAAGCGACTTGATTGCTTTAAGATATCTAACCTAATAGGTACTTTCCTTTATATTGGATCATTTTAGAGTTCTATAAGTGCTATATACTCCGGTTAGAAACAGAATTAGTTTTTCTACATTATGCCTGTAAACTATACAAGTCATTGTAAAATTTAAGGCACATTAAAACTATGCTATACCAATTAGTTAATAGATTGATTTTGGTATACGATATTGTAATAAATAAACCCTCAGGTTTCCAATTTAGTTCTAGTTAGTTAGTTTTATTTTCTAATATAATTATACTATGATAATTATATTGCTTTAAATTCATAGCTGTTTTTAAATTTGAACATTCAAGTATGTCCAATCATAATACAGATAAATATATACCTATTAATTATGTGTAGACGCATCCCATAACAATGTAGGTACCTATATGATGGCAGGCAGGGCGCGAATCAGTGCGAAGGTACCCGCACCCTGCACTCGCGTCGGGGCGGGAACGACCCGCGTTTCCTAAACCTTCACAGGAAAAACTTCGCGTGATTCCCGGCCGTCAATGCGCTGGAATTTAGATTCGTTTCTAAGGATAGGAGTAATTGCCGCCAACAGCGAACGAGGAGCGATTACAAGGGACGGTTGATAGAGTAAAAACTGCGCTCGGGCGGCGAGTTGAAAGGCGAAACGATCACGTAATGAGAGGCAGCGCTAGCGGGGCGCGGGCCGGGGGTGAGGGGACGCTCCCTTAATGACGACGATTAAAATTAATTTGCGCGGCGGGTCCCGCGGCCGCCCGTCTCATCGCAAATTAAATTCTTCTCTCGCGATCTGAGCAGGCCCCGCGCCCCGCGCCCCGCGTCCCGCGCCCTACGCCCCGCGCTCTATCACCGATGGGCCTACAGCCGTCAGTATCCCTCGATAGCACTCCACTCCCTTTTGTTTATTCGATCGCAGCCATTCTCTTGATTGATAACTTTTTCGCTGTATATAAAGATGCACGCGCACACTATGTTACATGATACACAGAGATAATGATAGGTACCTACATAGGTGAGTACTCATACTTGACGACTTAAGAGCTAAGGGTAATTAGAGACGTGCGACTACGTGTCATGTACGACATCAACAGTTTGTAATCATGCAAATATAAATACAATGAATTACTAGGTAATAGATACGTGATTATAGGTGTATTTATTTGATTTAGTTATGGTGCACTAAAATTATATAGAGTGCAATCTCCTATATATAGAGTAAAATCCCTCTTTAACTTATGTTAGTTAGTTTTTACTAAGCATTTTCCCTTACGAAACGAGAATTATTAATGTACCTAGAAAAATATATTAGCACACCATACCTGTCCTTCATTTTAAATAGGTATTATCTGCTATCTAATTGTTAGGTTCAATTTTGTTTTAGAATTTTTTTTTGTTTCTCTGGTAGACTTAAATTATGCCTTGTATTCTTAGAAAAATAATGATTATCTACACCAATCAGGGCAATTTCAATCACACACACATACACACATACACACATATGCCTATTAAAATGATAATGAAATACGTAAAGAGATTATATAAGAGTAAATATTGATATTTGTCAACAAACCGAAACAATTTTTGATTCAGATTTGTATTCAACTGAGAATTAAATGCAGAGTTGAATTTTATAATTGGTATCTAATAAATTATATTATTTTAACTTTAAATTTTAATGAAACTAATGTATCACATTCATGTTATGTTTCTTTTATTATTTTTTCAATGATCATTTTAATATATTTGAATGTAATATATACAAGCCTTATTATAATGAACGCCCTGGTAGAGTTCATATAGAGAACTTCACGTTATTTGTTACAACTTGTGTTACTTCATGATGTATTTATATTTTAGGGTGTTAAATCGCGTTTACTGCATACCTTATTAATTTTATTAATTGGGATGCAGTTAATTTTATTAACGTTACTTGATAGTATCTACGTAAATAAGAACACTATATGTAAAAGCACCATGCCGACGGCGCCGCGGCGGTCGTGTATAAACCCCTATACTGCCCACTACTCGCTTCATATCCATTTATTTCCAATCCTACTATTCTCCCTAGGCAGACTTAAAAACGACAATGTGTGATTCTTTAAAAGGAAATTAGTAAAATCTGAAATGTTTTTGTCGGTTTAATAATTTATTGATATAAAGACAGACATCAGAAATAAAAGGATTTACTTTATTAATTACTTTTAAAATATTTTGAATAGTCAAACATGTTATTGTAACAAAGTAAGTGATTGTTGTATATGCAACTTACCTATCAGTGTTGTGGTGTAGTGAGTTGAGCATAGGGCGACGCGAGGGTGGGAGACTGGGACGGGATGAAGGGGATACGTCGCTGGTTTATTGACAAACATGCCTTGTGACCCCGTGCGCACGCTCCCGTATTGTCACCTATCTATCAACCACAGGACTGTACTCGTACCTACTTACCTACAGTCGTGTAAACTAGATGCTCAGCTCTCTGTCAACGATCCACATTCATTAAGGGATATATAAAACTATTTTTTGTATCTATATGTTAGAAATGTGGTGTGTACCTACTTAAAAATTATCTTGAGGCCATGCAAAATTTCAATAATCA